TGGCTGGCATTGGCATAACCTGCGCATCCGTGTTGCTAGACTTGGACACGATGCACACCGCCCCATTACACAATGCGCCTATTCTCTTTTGAGATACATGCAAAACAGAACCAAGAAACGCTGAGTGTGTGTCTCCCATTGTTACTCAGCTTTTCCGTTCCGTCTAGCTCGGTTAAGTATCCTTGTCTAATAATTAGTTGTAGCTTGTCGATGCTCACAGGATTTTTTTTCTTCCTTTCTAATCACTTAAGAGGTTTTCTTCAACGTCCATTTCAATGGAAAATAGAAAGCTCATTCATATAGACCCACTAGTTGCATTTTGTTTACCTTCTTGCTCCAGAACGCATGCTCCAGTTGAATTTTGGAGATTGAATTTGTTCATATTGATGGGAAATTATGATAATTTTTAGCATTTTCTGAGGATTTCAACATGCCCATATTATTTCTGACTCATAAAGAAAAAATTGGTGTCTTCGTAGTTTCTAAGGATTTCAACTTGCCAGAGAAGATGCATATGGGACTCTCAGCGTCGATTTCTTTGGTTTCTGCTAAATTCATTTTGCATAAACTTTTTGGAATATTCGGCGTGGTCACTGGCAGATTTCTCTAGTTTACGCTGGTGGTTTTCTTCTATCCAAATCAGATTTCTCTGGTTTACGCTGGTGGTAGCATGTCTTCTGGAGCAAAGACTATGTTGTTGTTAATGTGCGTGGATCTTCGGCGTCGTCGTTTATGGGAGGAGGGAGGGCGGAGGGAGATGAAAACTCGAGTTTTCTCGAGTTTTTCCACCGGGGTTGCACAGTTTTGATGCGACCCCGAATCCTTGATTTTGGGATCTGGAATTCCACCTTTTTCTCACCCCATCCCATTCTTTCCCTCAAAACAAATATGAGAAAATGGAATATTTTTGGAATATTCCCTTTTTCTCATCCCCATCCCGCAAGCCAAACGGAGCCTAAAAGAAATGTTGAAAGTCATGTTAAGTTTTAGAAAATTTCCCATTTTTTAGTAACTCGACAACTTCAAACATTAATTAGGGAGGATAAACTAAAATTATAAGAGGTCTGAGCAAAAGGATGGACCCAATTGGCCCATTCCTCAAAACAGAAAGTAACCTCTAAGAGAATTAACTTCGGCAGTTAGCCGATCAACAACCTGATGAGTCTGATATCCGACTCAATTCACCGCAAGGTTTGAACCAGAGGACTTCACATTAAACTGATGCACTTAATAATGAGAAATTTAGAGTTCACTTTACCTCAAGGATTTTTATTAGGTTTATGGGTTTTATTTACCAATACCACCGCCTATAATACTATCCCCTCGAATTTTGATTCACTCCTCCACCTGTTACTATTCCAACTGTACCAATCGTACCAAAATTTATGGGGTGGACCGATCAATAAGAACCCCAAGAAAAAATCACTCTAAGATCACTATCCTTTGTTGATTTAACGGGTACGTTTCCTAACCACAACCTCCTTTTTGTATTGAGCACGCATGGTTTACAAATGATTCCTTTAAGGAGGTGGTGAAGGAGGCTTGGCAAGTACCTTCATCGTCTTCAGCTATTTCTCTGGTTCGTAATGCTTCTAAATCTTTGCGGTCTCTCACTAAGTCTTGAAATATGAATGTTTTTGGTAATGTTTTCAGAAGAAAAAGATACATTTTGAAAAGAATTGAGGGAATCCAAAAATTTTTGGAAATAAGGCCTTCTCGTTTCCTCAATGATCTTCAATTTTCTCTCCATAAGGAATATTTCAACATCCTCAAACAGGAGGAAATTCTATGGAGCCAAAAAGCTAGATTCAATTGGCTAAAAAATGGTGATTCAAACACCAGATTCTTTCATACTGTGGCTCTTAAGAGGGGTCAGTCAAAAAAGATTTTGGCCCTTAAAGAAAATAATGTGTGGATTACTGTTAATGATGAACTAAAAAAGATGTGCAGAAATCACTTTATTAGTTTATAATCTTCAGTCAGTCGAAATCATAACCTTGATCCTTGTTTTGGCGATGTTCATAACAATATTGATCAATGGTTCACCCTAGTCATAGAACAAGAAATTAGAAGCATTGTTTGGAGTTTGCCAAACAATAAAAGCCCAAGTCATGATGGCATTACTTCTGAATTTATCAAAAATCATTGGGACATTGTGGGCCCATCTTTTACTGATGCAATCTTTGAATGCATTGACAACTCTGAAATTCTAGACTATTTTAACCAATCTCACATTGTTTTAATTCCAAAAGTGAAACACCCTGAAACAATGAATCAATTCCGTCCTATTGGTCTTTGTAACACTATTTACAAGGTAATCGGGAAGCTTATTATGGCTAGACTCAAACCTCTCTTGCCGAAATTCATTTTCCCAAACCAGTCTAGCTTTGTCCCCTGTCGGCATTTAAAGGATAATGCGATCATTTTACATCAAGTTCCCCATTCTTTCAAAAGGAAAAGCGGTAAGAAAGGTTTTGTTAGAATTAAATTTGACCTTGAAAAAGTTTATGATAAGCTTGATTGGTCATTTATTAAAAAGTCTCTTGATTTCATTAAAATTCCTAAGAGATGGGTTAATTTGATCATGAATTGTATTACCACCCCTAGTTTTAACATTATCTTTAATGGTTCAATTCTTGAACCATTTAAATCCACAAGGGGTCTTAGACAAAGGGACCTCTCTCCCCCTACATTTTCCTAATTTGTCTAGAAACTCTTTCGGGTATGCTTAACAAAACTATGGCTAATGATGAGATGAAGCCATTTAAATTCTCTAGAACAGGCCTGAGTTATCTCACATCTTCTATGCAGATGACTTGTTTATTTTTCTAAAGTCCTCCATTACTCAGCTCAATTGTGTGAGAAATATCTTGGATAATTTCTGTAATGCTTTTGGGGAAACAATTAACTATAATAAATCTACCTTGTTCACATCAAGGAATGTTCCCCATAGACACACCCGAATTCTAGCCTGAAAAATTAGGGTTAGGGCTTCTAACAACCTTGATAAATATCTTAGGCTCCTCGTTTTTAGTGGCAGGGTTACTAAACATACCTTACATTCTGTGGTTGACCATGTTCAAACCAAATTAGCAGGATGGAAGGCAAATACTCTTAGTCTTACTAGTAGATTAACCCTTCTCTAATCTACTTTATCCTCAATTCCCCTCCATGCCATGCAAATTTTTTGTTTACCCTCAAGCACCTGCCAAGATGTAGACAAAGATAGAAGAAATTTTCTATGGGAAGTTCTCTCTCTCTCTCTCTCTCTCTTTTTTTTTTTTTTGCTTCAGTATGGGAAGTTCTCTTCATCACAGGAAATTGCATCTCATTAAATGGGAGAAGATTCTAACTCCTAAGCATGTTGGAGGGCATGGAATTAGGGACCTTCACTCCTTAAATCTAGCTCTTCTCACTAAATTAGCATGGCACCTCTACTATAACCAAGATAGTTTGTGGTCCAAAGTCCTAATTAGTAAATACGGTACGGGGAACTGATGTTTTGGACCCATGCGTAAAAGGTCATGATTCTTGGATTTGGAAGGGAATAGCTAAAGGTTATAAATTTCTTAGGGAGGGACTCATACGTGCCATTGGGAATGGAGAAGACACTAACTTTTGGGATGGCCCATGGGTTACTAGGACTACCTGTAGGCAGAATCAATTGCATGGGCCTCTCCCAAATGTTAATTTGAGGAGTGTTAAAGACCGTATAACTGCTTCTGGTGATTGGGACATCTACCTGATTTCTTCTCTCTTGCCAAGTGATATGGTTGAAAAAATCATGGCAATCCCTTTAAATTTAGGGTCACAAAAAAATGACCATTGGATATGGCCTGACACTAAAGATGGTAATGTTTCAACTAAATCAGTTTATACATTTATTAGAAAAGAAAATGATCTCCCTAAAGCTCAAGCTTTTAATCTGATTTGGAAAGCTCCATTTCAACCAAGGGTGAAAATATTTTTGTAACTGCTTTATCATAGAAAACTCCCCACTCGCGATGCTCTAATAAAGAAAAATATTCAGGTTCCTAGTGAATGCCCCTTGTGTAATGAAAGCATGAAAACGATTGATCATTTGTTTATAGATTGTAGGTTCTATAAAGAAGTTTGGAATTTATATGATAATCATCTCACAACCATTAGTGTACTAAACTTTAAGAGTTGGGTTGAAAGTAATCTTGAGACTAGTAATGCTCTCAAGGCGACTTATTTTAACTATTTAAATTGACTGACTTTGAGGGCCCAAAATAAAAAAGTGTTCAACAATATCAGTTACACTCCCACTTATATTACAAATCTTGTGAAAAACTATGTTGACAATTTCCTGTGTGCCCAACATACTAATGCTCCTGCCAATAATCAACCTAATTGCAGAGTCTGGAGAGACATCAAATGGGAAGCTCCAGGTGATCAATGGATTAAAATCAATACATATGGAGTTGTCAAGGGCCAGAATGGTAGTGCTGCGATTGGGAGTCTTCTCCGAGATCAACTTGGACAATGGAAATGAAGCTTCACCACTTACATTAGAAATTCCCCTATCAACTTGGCAGAATTGTGGACTGTCAAATGTGGGTTTGTCTTGGCATAGAACTCGGGCTACCGCAAAATCATTTTGGAGTCAGATTCGCATTCCACCATTCAAATTCTCAAGGGTGGTCGGGATGACCATTGGCGTCTTTCTACAATAAGCAAGGAGATCAAAGCTAATAGAGATTGGGAAGTTCGTATCAATCACTGCTACAGGGAAGCCAACAAATGTGCCAATTTTATGGCTAATTTAGCTTGGAGCACTAAGATTCGGTATAGAGAATTCCTTATACCTCCTAAAGAGTTTAACTTTCTTCTGTTTGCTGATGTTATGGGGGCAATCACCCCTCGTTTAATTTTGATTTGAGTCTTTTGGTTTCTATTCTTTGTTTTTTTTGTTTTTTGTTTTTAAGGCTCTACCAGGTGAATAAAAAAAAAAAAACTCTAACATAGGCTGGAGAAAGGAAAGAAAAAGAATTGCCTTTTCCGTTTATGATTCTCGCCCTCGGCTAAGTAGCAAGACGACAAGTTAAAATGTTAAATTCTAAAGGGAGAAAGGAACAAAAAGAAAATTTAAAAATAGAAAGAGATTGAAAGGTCTCTCCTCTCTAACTCTTGCCCAAGTAAAAAAGTCTTAAATCAGAAGTCAATCCCCTTTTAGCCGCTCTTTACATTTTGGCCCCAAACTCATTTTCAGTTTGCAGCCTACCATTTCTCTGCAAGTGCCTCTTCTTTTTAAAAGAATACAGCCTCTCTCTCTCTCTCTCTACTTAACTGTTCCTATTTATTTGCTTGCGACTTTCTTCTTAACGTTAGTACTCTGCTGTTGCTCTTCCTTTCCCACACCACCACCAGTAGTAGTAGTAGAAGGACTAGTACCACTCACGCTTCCATTGCATTCCTGACTTTGCCCTTTTCCATCCGACTTGCCTTTGGGAGAAGTACTATTGTTGCTATTGCTCTCTGGATGCTGTGGGATCTCAACTGCAAAGCTAGTCTCAGTTACACTACCTGATATTGGCTGTTGCGATGGCGGTGAATGGCCAGATCCCGGGGGAGGAAGGAAAACTCCAGTGCCCGGGACTGGGAATCGAGGTGGAGGATGCCTTGGAGGAGGAACAGCAGGCCATCCAGTTGATGCCGATGGGATTGGAACTGGTGCCGTGGGATAAGGAACCGGTGGTGCAACCGGAGCAGTAACGAACAGTGGCTGCATGCCAATGCCATTGGGAGGAGGGAGATGTTGAGGACGGATGGGTGGCGCCGGCAGCACTCCAGTTGTGGGTGTGGGGACCCCTCCATAATGCTTGTTAGGACCTGCAGGATGACGAACATTACCCAATGGCCTACCTGGTGATGGGCCCCAGGGAGATGGTGATCCTCCTGCACTTGATGAGGAGGGACCACGTGAGCTATCACTAGGCATGGTTTTCTTTGGCTGAGACTTGGTAAAGGTGACAACTATGCGCTGTTTGCGGACAGAGGGGATTGCATGCCTTGCAAAATCTGCACTTTTGCCTTGCATCGTGAGCAAAGTTCTGTATTTGCAAAACGGACATCAGATCAGATCAGAAAATTGACACAAGAACTAAGATATCATAATATGGACCTCTATGTCGCACATTGATCTTGTAACAAAATTTGGTAAGCAGCTTTAAGGAAAGAGAGAGATTACTGTTTGATAAACTGACAGTATATGTTTGATAAAATCACCAGATAACTAAATTATTCTAATATGTAATTTTATTCCCTGCCTGAAAACTTCTCTTTCCTATATATCCAGAAAGAAGAAAAAGATTATAATATTTGAAAAAGCTGTTACTTAACCAAAACCAAAAAGGAAAGAAAGAGGAAGCTGTTACAGAGGCACAAAAATAATTTGACAGATTTATGTAGTTCTAATCAGCCTTCTGCTATTGTATAAAGATACATTTCCATAGACGATAAAAGGAATATGATTCATTACTTTTTTCTGGTATATTACAAAAAAATATATTCATCGTTTGCTTCACTCTTCTCTGCAAATGCAACAACCTGAAATCATGTCAACTGGTAACTGTCTTCCAAAACAAGCTCAAAATGTAGCAAGGTTAAATGTCAAGCACTTGAGGATGTTGTGGCAGGGAGTGTTCACCATATAAATTGTTGTTTCAATTTTATATCATATCTAGTTATATACTTCTATAGGTACTGAAGGCTCTAGCACTCTTTGTGGCAATGATTGCCAAAATTCAAAGAATGCACAAATAATAGTTTATGTGATTCATCCTAGGGGTGCTCACAGTTCGGGTAACCAAACTGTGGGCCTTTTTTTGTAACCGAACTGGTACTACCAGTTTTTAGAAAACTGGTAAGCGAAACCGAACCGAAGCCAATCGGCTAACCGGTTGACCCATTCAGTTAACTGTCGGTTCAATTTGTTGGTTTTTTGGTTTTTAAATTTTTACAATATATATTATGAAAATATATAAATATATAATAAAAATTATAAATATATATAAAATATTATATTTTAAATAATAAATAATATATCATATATTATAAATATAAATATATATAATGCATATTCATTAATTTATAATATATAAAATATATATAATGTACATAAATATATATAAAATATATGTACAAGGTTAATTCGGTTAACCGCCGGTTTTCTATATTGGTTAACCGAAACTGAACCGACCGATTTAGTTAACTGATTTTTCAGTTCGGTTTTGGTCAGTTTTTTCGGTCAGTTCGGTTTTTCAGTTTTTTTTCTCACCCCTAATTCATCCCATTGTGCATCATACTCAGGTCAAAAGTCCATTTACATCCTTGTAGAGTATTTTGCCATCAACATCTCAGGAGGAATAAATGTCTATGGTAATTAGACCTGTTCACGGGCCGGGCTTCGGGCCTGACTTTACACTATGTCGAGCTCAGGCTTTGGGCCAGGCCCATTCAATTTTTGGCAAAAGCCAAGCCCGAGACAGCCCATGAACAGGTCTATTGGTAATATACCAAAACTTACAAAAAATAAAAATGTGTCCAGGTTCAATTTTATAGGTGGTTAACTTTAAGCACCCAAGAAAACACAAATGATAGTGTATATGCTATTTCAGCTTTGTACATCAGGCTCAAGTCAAAAGCCCATTCAAGTCTTTGCATGTAGAGTCAATTTGACAATCTAGATCTCAAAAAGAACGAGCAAATAGTGGATATCAAGTTCTCTGAAATTTTATGCTAAGATCACAAACAGAATAACCAAGTCCAAGTTCAATTTTGCATGCTCTAAGCTTTCAAGAGCCCACACATCACAAATTATACCAAGTAAACCCAATAATAAAGAACCAAAATAATAAAAAAAAAAGGTAAAACCCAATAAGTAGAAGATCCCTGTACTAAAGTTGATTAAGCAACCAGAACCTATAATCAAACAGGGTTCGAATAGTTCTTACCCTGCTGCAAGGGAGAGCTTGAGAGACCCTCTGTAATCCCCAGGGTGGTCCACTACAATTACTCTGCCAAAAGTCATGATGCACTCTGTTAAAAACAGAATGCAAACTGGCCTTCCAAACCATGGTGGAAACATGTGAGGCTGTGAGTGGTCACCCTAGAAGTAAAAGCCACAAAATTAGGTTGTATATCATACTGAATTTTATTACATAATTTGTGATGATATATACAGACTCTAACCTCGTTAAAGAAATCAATAATGCATGAATCTGGCTTCATGGTCATAACTTGTAAGTGAACTAGGTGATCTATAACATCCTGAAGCAACCCAGGAATGGGTTCCATTTTACAATCTGCAAAAAATGATTCATGTCCAAACAAATTGGCATTTTAGGGAAAATTATCAACAATTTGCAGATTAAAAGCATAAGGTAAAAGTTAATACATGCCTTTGAAGGTCCCAGTCGCACTTCCCTCTTCTGGAGGTGCATCAGCAATGGGGATACCCAACTGAATCATTTCTCTACCATGCCCCTTCATTGGTCTCTTTGAGACTGCAAATGTCTGTCCTGTTTTCCATCATAAGGATTGCTCAGCATTTGTTGTGAATTAAAGCCAAAAAAAAATCCATTGAAAGAGTTAATAGGCATCTGCAGAAGTGCAGAAGACAAATAATAATGCAGATCCATGTTAAAAATATCCAAAATACAAAAGTTGCAACAGCAATAATACCCAAAGTTAAAGAAACTAGGATGAGACGACTCCTATTCTTTCCCCCTAAGAGAATAACACTTTACTGAGCCTAATCAAATCAACCTTTTTTTGGCATTAAAATAAAAAATCGCCCCTTGGAAGTCAAAAATTAAACTGCTAGATGCAATTAACTTGAAAATATTTTCATATTTTATATGTAACTTATATTTATCCCCCAAAAGCCCCATACTGACAATTTCCCAATAATTGAGATCTCATTATTTCTTTTTTTTTTTTTTTTTTTTTTTTGAGAAAGGCATCTCATTATTTCTTAACAGCCTTGATTTCTAACTGCAATCAAATTTACTATTTAAAAATTGAAGTTGTGAGTTTGAATCCTAATTGGTGATCATCATATCTAATGAACAAAGTTTATCTTGTAAACCATCATGGAAATCCCACCTTGAAAAAAAACGAAGAAGATACTAATAATAGTAAGTATTAAATAGAGCAATTCCATATCAAATTAGCAACTAAAGAAGGCATGGATTAGCACAGGGTTAAGCATTCCATGAAATAGGCAAGTTGATATATATATATATATATATATATTTTAATTTTCTGCCCTCCAGCTTGGCAGGCCATTCGTAGACCTGTTTCCTCGTTCATGAGTTGACTGACTTGCCAAAAATTCTAAGTGGAGAATACCAGAAAAGAGATCAACTTTCCCTAGTTTTTAAAAGTGAGAAGAAACTAAATTGCAAGGGATTTCTGATGACTGAGGAGAAAAGAAATGTGCATGACTGAATGAATGCACAACTTGTGAAAAAACAAAAAAAGATAGAAGGAAAATCCTGTTAACATATAATGCAAAATCCTGTTAGCTCAACTGATCAGAGCACCATTTATTAATACAAAAGTTGTAACCTTGTAGTTTCAAGTCACTATATGGGCTATCTATCGAAAAAAAAGTCCCTACATAAAAGTCATCCCTACAACCTTTAACATAGTGAATTCAAAGTTAAGTCATCAAAACATAGCAACAAGCCATGTGAGGTGCGCCTAGGTTCACATACAGTGCACTGTGCACCCTAGAAAATGAGGCTTACCTATGAACCTGGGTGCAACTTTTAAACCACGGGCTTGGCCTAGCCTACATTTTGGTGTTTGGAATCCTTCCCTTGATGGCTGTATTTAAAATAACTTAATTTATCCATGGTCATTACAAGATCATTAATAGTTGCATCAATGACTAAAATATGATGCTAGTCCTAGCATAGATACATCTCACAACTACTACTGTTATTATTTTATTTTTTATTTCTATATTTGTATTGTAGTCAAAAGACAATGACCATTTCCATGATTTTTCCCCATAGCAAACAAATTGTGTTTAATAAAAATAAATCTATATTATACTTGGAAAATAATTAGGTCCAGCTCAGCAGTGCTCTTTGCTCTTTGTCACTCTCTAAAAATTCTCCTTTTTGAATTTTTTTAATTTAAAAAGTAACCAAAATGTTGGGAATTCAATGTTAGTAGTGCTCATTTCCACCTATATCCATAGTATTGACCAATAATACATTTGCAGTATCATTTACACATCAGCTCATATACCCAACACAGATCAATTCTGTATCCTCTCACTAACTTCATTCTATTCAAATTTATTTCACATGACCATTAACTCCTATAATTTAAGCCAATATTCTCTCTCATTAAATACTCTCCATTCAAATTCAAATTGATACATTACTCACCTCATTAACTTCTATGCTTAAGCCATTATTCTCTCTCGTTTTCTCACTCTTGCTAACTTCTTTCCATTCAAATCACATCATTAACCCTGTACCCTATGATTTCTATGGTATAAAAACTGCAAGAAGATTTGAACCCAAGTCTTTAGGTTGAAAGGCAAAACTACTACACCATGTTTCACCTAGTTATAATTGCATGGGCTCTAAATTTTAACCTTTAGACATTCTCTTAAAATATGTCTATCAAAAAATTTAAAAAGTTAATTGGTTATTAAAGTATATATATTTATCAATATTAACAAGAATTATATCGATTTGCTAAGAAATATGATATGCATTCATATTTTTAGTTCCATCATTTTTCAACATTTTCCAAGTGTGTTCCGGTAATTCACATTTTTAGTTATTAAACTCAGGATGATTGTTTTTATTCGACCTGTTTATAGTCATCTAAGAATAAAATTTGGTATTATTGATGAATTTGTTTTGATTTATTTGAGTTTCCATGGTGTATCCATGCATATCTTAATTTTTCCACCATATCAATGCATATCCTGATGCGTTTCTTAAGTTGCCTTTTCAATACTCTGAACCTTGTCTAGTGTCTACATCATCTTGCTAAAATGGATCATCCCATTTCTGTTCGACATAATATCTTTCATAAAAACAATCATCCTGAGTTTCATTTATGTACCAATTTAGAGATACTTCTAGATCAAGGCCCATAGATGATAATGATAATGAAGAAATAAAGATCACATATTTCCCAAATATAAGCATTATTTTTTTAATCATAAAATTATGTAGCAGAAAAAGGAAAACGAGCAAATGGACTTGCCTTGGAACTGTCCTTTCCGTCCAGCAGCTCTCAACTCATTTACTAATGAAAGAAGTTTTGAAATCTCTGAGCTACCAAAAAGTTCTTCATAAAATTTCAGTCCTTCAACAACATTAACCTGTAAGACAAGTTTCATGCTTTTAATGAGTAGAGTAAGCAAAGAAAAGTGCATTAATAAATAAGAACAAAAACTCAGTCTCTTTGAAAACAGCAGTCACTAAAACTAGAACTACAGGATTTCACTCTAGTATTACAAGATATCATACCGTATTTCCATCAAATATCTCGATACCCACAAAAGTTTTGGGAACAGGAGTTTGGATGGTATCTGCAGCAGCCATCTGGGGGGCACTAGAAGTACCTGATGTAAAAGCAAAATGAATTAATATTAGAGCTTCTTTATAACCTAATGCTGTACCTAGCTGAAAGAGTAAATAAGGCTGTAACCGGATCAGACTCAGCAAAATCCGACTCTGATCTGATTATGAAAAGCTTGCATCTGAATCCGATCATATTTGAAGACCTTGGATTCAAATTCGGATCCGAATGGACTTGGATCGGATTCGGACTTAATCCAACTCCGCTTTAATTTTTTAAAATACAAAAAAATTAAAAAATTAATTACCTTGCAGCTTTTATATATAATAAATTAATGTAAATATACATACTAAATTTATTATATATAATATAATATAATATATAAAAATATATTTTTTTATAATTTTAAATATAATTATATAATATATATTAAAATTAATAAATATTATAATATAATCAGATTCGGATTTTAATCGGATCAGATGGAGTCAAATCCGAATCCAATATGATTATTAATCAGATGCAGAATACAAAATCCGAATCTGACCCGATTAAATAAAAAAAAAAACATCATTTGAATTCGAGGTAATCGAATTGGATGTCGGATTGGGCCTCGGATTTTTTGGTATCATTGACAGGCCTAAGAGAAAATATAATCAATCGGAAACCAAGTTAAATAGGAAAAATTTTAAAAATATAATAAAACTAAAACAATGGCTTATAGTTTAAAATTTCTCAAGGTTAAACTCATGCATTCATATTATACATAGGAAAATAAAACTAAAACAATGGCTTATAGTTTAAAATTTCTCAAGGTTAAACTCATGCATTCATATTATACATAGGAAAATTTTCTACAGGTTTTCATAAACCACATTGTAGTCCCATAAATCAAATAGTGTATGCACAAAAATAGGAAGCAATAGAAAATCGTGAGTTATTGATGCTCAAAACCGGATAGGTTTCTATTGAATGCTAGGTAGGAATTATTCAAATTTTGGAGGGAATTAAATGGATTGAGAAGGCATTTGAAAGAGTAGAATAAAGAGGTCTATGGAATTATTAAGGATAAGAAGCAACTAGTAGTGGACTAAATGAAGGAACTCAATGAAAAAGAGGGTGAGGAAAATTTATCAAAGGCTAAGAGAAATGATGGATAGCAATTAAAGGGGGAATTGGACCTTTTACTCAAAAGGGTGGAGATATATACGCAGATGGTTGAAGAAGGGCAATGGGAACTCTTATTTTTTTAATTCAATGGATAAAAGGAGGAATAGAACATTGCACGAATATTTGTCAATCATTTTAAGAATCTTGTGGGATCTCCATTACCATCTACATTGGTTGTTTAAGGTCTAGATGACTCTCCCTAGGAGAGTAAATGGTTTCTTAGTTGGAGAGACCCTTTGAGAGTGAGAAAGTTAAAAAGAGCTCTTTTTTGAAAGGAGGATGTAATGGAGGTTTTCGGTGAATTTCATGGCTTTCTTCCAAGGTTCTTGGAAGGAGGATGTAATGGAGGTTTTCGGTGAATTTCATGAAAGGGGAATTATAAAAAGAGGCCAATGCCACTTTCATTGCTAGCCACCTTAAGGACTTCGGGCTATTAGTTTAGTGGGTAGTCTTTACAAGATTATTTCTACGGTCCCTTTAACTAAAAAAGGTATTTCCTTTTATCGATTATCAAATCTCAACTCCAAGGGACTTTTATCCAGTGAAAGCAAATCCTATGTCAAAGTTCAATAGAAAACTAACACATAGGAAACCAAAAGATATGTTAAGAAATGACGGCAACGCATGTTAGATTTGGAAAAAAGGCTACAACTTAGTGGATTGGTCCTTCTCTGACCTGGTGCCAAGTATGGATGTGGTAAGTTATGGACAAAATAGATTTAAGGTTGCCTAACATCTTGTTATACTCAATATTGGTAAATGGGGCAATGAAGGATTTCTTTCCTGCTAAATAAGGATTAGGCAAGGGAACCCACTTTCATCATTCCTATTCACTCTAATGGTGGATTTATTGAGTCAGCTAATAACTAAGGCTAATAGAATGGCAAGTGGGATGGGAAAGGATTACAACTACCCATCTTCAGTTTGTTTATGACCTAACAGTTTTTTTGTGAGGATAGGTGAGGAAGATAGGAATCTAATGCTCTTGATCAAGTGTTTTGAACGTATCTCTACTCAGAGATTCAATCTTAGCAAAAGTTGCATATCAAGAACCAATATGGAGGAAGCAGATTTGGAAAGCACTAGTTCTCTTGGATGTTCGATGGAGTGGCCTTTTAGATATGTAGGCCTTCCCCTTCATAGCACCCTTAGATTTGATAGTTTTTGGAATAATATTATTGATAGGTTAGCAAAGAAACTGGCAACTTTGAAAAGAAATATCTCTTTGGGGGTAGTAAAATCATATTGATAAAATTGACTTTAGCAAATCTTCCTATTTACTACATTTCCATATATATAGGATTTCCATCCTAATTGCCAAAAGATTAAATAAATCATGATGGACTTCCTATGGAAGCCAAGGAACCTTGAGAAAAACCATCTGGTTAATTGGTAAACATAAACCACGTGTAAGAACAAGGAGGGCATTTAGGTTTGGGTAGACATGCTCTTAGAAACTAATCATTGTTGGGGAAATTGTTATGGAGATTTCAATATGGAGTTGCAAAGTTGTCAAGGCGACGCCTCACCTAATTGCCAAGCAGTTTTTGTATGTTGTGTCATAAAATACTTTTATATTCTTAATTTTTTGAGATTATAATTATAAAATAGTCATTATTAAACTAAAATATTCATTACGCGTGTTTATAACTAATATCTTCTTATTATTTTCTTATTTGTTAGGGTTTAATCAACACAAACATTGCTAACTGTTGTATTACCCTCAAAGACTTCAAAACATGAACCAATAAGGAAGAACTTAAAATTTTGTCTAATTGACACATTTTCCACCTTTTCTTTTCTTCTTTTCATAAACAATAAAGGGGGTTCAGCCCCTATATTTTTTGAATTTTCCTTTCTTTCTTCTTTTTCTTCTCATGGATATGTTGATTTTCTATACTTTAACATTAAGTTATGAAAATTATGGATAATTATTAAGGAAATATGGTTATGGAACCTAGGGAACTAGCCTAGGATATATTTTTTACATAAAAAAAAAAATCCATCGCCTAGGCGACAAGGTGCCCCCCCTATCGCTTAGCCTCGCCTTGGCACCTGAAAACTATGTGAAGTTAGGGAAAGTTGTGGCACAAAGTGATCAAAATTATTTGCCTATCAAAACCAAGTGGTCAAAAGTGTTCATGGCTAGGGCTACAAAGTCAAGTTGCCCAACTTGAAGAATTTCAACTACATCAGGCTCAAGTTAGGGTTCAAGCCCATTGAAAAATTAACAATTTTCCAACCCAACCTGACCCAAATTGCACCCCGGCTCATGATCTTCTAGACAACATTTTTTCTATAGTACATAAGAAAATGCTCACTAAAGAAAAAAGAGAAGTACATCAGATAAGATGCGCTGATGTAAAGCCTTGTAGGCACAAAAAGACATTTAAGATACAATATTTACCCATTCAATAGTTTCCCAAAATTTTTCCCCAAAGACATCCCTATTGGCGTCCACAATTCTAGATCAACCGGCACCCCAAATTTTTCTCTTCACTTTCCATAATCCCCAAAATACAAAAAATGGAATGCAGCTCCAAGAAATGCTAGCCTTCTTGCAACTATGGATCTTAGGCCACTTGGAGAAGATTTCCTCAGGGCTGTTAGGCCAATGGAATTGGACTCCAAGTGACTGTGAAACCTCCATTCGTGAATTCTTTCCACCACCTTTCATCTCTCTTGTATATCTTTCTTAGCATGTTCAAGTTTATTTAATAACATGATCTACTTCTCCATCTTTTTTTACAAATGATCTACTTCTCTATCAGTCTATCTTGCAGTGGCCTCCTAAACTTGAATACAACTGAGAAATGACTGTTAAAAACTCATAATACCCTTCCACACACACCATAAGTAGAGGATATACTTCCTTTGGTTCACACTCAAATCTGATCACCCCATATTTGCTTGCCATCACCCTTCACTATGTCTCTCCTCCAAATAACACCACCTCCACAGCCACTTATCAAGCAAAGCTTTGTTAACAACTAATACCCTCCTAATCCTCAACCTGCCATTCTTCTTAGGTTTATGCATCCACCCACACCCCCAATTGATGAGATGAAACTTCTTTCATATCCCCCTTCTTCTCTAACAAAAATCTCTACACAATTCTCTATGTTCTCCGCCACCAGTGCAAGAATTCTTTTGAGTAGGTCATATTGGCAAGATAATAGCTAGTAGACTCTCAATTAGAATTATTCTTCCACCCAGGCATAAGACCTATTCTTCCAGCCCGCTTGCCATTTGTCCACTCTATCGAAAATAAGTTGCCATGTTGATGCTGAAGCCTCTGTCCACATTGGCATGCCCAAATAAGTTAATGAAACTCACCTATCAAGTGCTGAGCCGCAATCTCCTAAGAACTCAAACCCCACCTGACCTACCCCCATCATCACACTCTTTATGAACTTTCTGTCCTGACAAAACTTCAAAATAGCTCTCAGATTCAATACCAAGAAATAATAATACTAATATTTTTTTAGAAAAGGTAAACTATTGTATTGTATTATAGACAAAATTATAGATCATGATGCTAAGGGAGTGTTAATAGAGGATAAAACTATTTAGGTGACTCATTGATGAAGACCTTCGATACCTTTTCTGAATTTGCGACCCTTGGGCCTCGGCATTGTTAGGAATTGGAAAATAGTATCAATCACCTTTTTGACTAGAAGACTATCCCTTATTTCATTGACACCACCTTTTTGTGATATGATAAAGTTAAGCTTTGAAGGCTGTAATTTTGGTAATCCAAGCAAATCAAGAATTGGGAGCATATTTTTTAATAGGTATAAATGTGTTATTGGCTCTCTATAAACAAGTTGGTTACAGATACAAATTTTAATTCCTTTTTTGTATATGATAACC